ATTCCTCTCTGCTATTAAATACTTTAAATAAAAACATAAGATTATTTTAATTGTGCTTATTTAAAAAAATGTGTTTAATTAAAAACTGTCTTCAATAAATTAATTAATATGTATGTCAATTCAACGATTGTTCCCGAAAGACTTCTTCAAGGTTATATTGATTTATTTACCTACTATAAAGTTTTACGACTGTAATTTGTTTTATATTTTGTTTCAGTGTCTAAGATCATTCAAAGACTACTTCAAAATGGTCTATTTTGTACTCAATTGTAAATACTATGAAGTAAGAAGTAAGCAAAAAAATTGTAATTTTTTTTTTCTCACAAATCCCGCTAAAAGGAAAAATTTAATTAATCTGATTAGGTAACTAATTGACATTATTATGGAAATGGAAATGTACAATAAAAATGTGATAAAGATAAAGAGACAAATGGTTTTTCTCTTTAAAAGTCTGAATCAGAAAAAAGGATCAACCAGTTAATTTAATATTCTCGAGAATTTTTACCTAAGAAATGGTATGTACATTTAAATAGTTTACCTATATAAAGTTATGTTTGCCTGTTGTAATTATCAATCGTGTTGCCCTTCAACCTAGATCGTTTGTTGCATACAAACCAGAAATCTTTTATTTTAATGACATTTTTTTATTGCTTTGTTTGTATAATTTAGTATTTTTAAAAATATTAGATGTTATGATAATTTGGATCACTGCAGGTATTAAATAAAAATAATGCTGTTGGTAAATTAGTTTACAGTTGGTAATAAAGTATGTCTCGAAAAAAGCAATAAGTATCAAACATAAATTGTGATTTTGATTAGGCACTTAACATGTCACATCCCACATATCTACATACTCTGGCTAATCAATCCTATAAGTACATATCAAAACATTAATATACTATCTACAATTAAACAATAATTTGAAAATACAGATGAATCCGATTTACCTATTTAGATAAAATACTATTATTCTGTTATTTATTAAAACACATTATTTTTTAGTGAACATGGACATGCAAAAGGTCTGCTATAAGGGTAGGACATAGTGATAGCAAGAATACTTTGGAATGTGCTGTGAAATACACTTAGAAAGGGTCATATGAAGAATTAAGTGTAATAACATTTTAAGATGTGTATCTCACTAGTTTAGTTCAAACTTTTAGTATCCTTTGATAAAAGAAGTTGAATATTATTGTTGACCTTTTTAAATTGTTTATTTTACCTTATACATTTTTTTTTTCTACTCTTGATACAGTATTCTGTGAAGAGTATTATAGGTTTACTTTGTCCGTCTGTCCGATGTCACGTTCTTTGCCTGCACGATAAGTCAAAAACGAGAAATGATATCAACTTGAAAATGTTAAGCAAAAATCAAGCTCTATAAGGAGACAAAGCCTATTGATTTTTAATAAATCTGATTAAAAATAGGGGATTAAGATGGGTTGAAATTAAAAAAAAAAATCCTAAATTAAAAACGAAAAGTAATATCAACATGAAATTTTTAGTAAAAATGAAGCTTTATAAGAAGATAAAGCCTATTGATACTGAAAAAAATATGAATATATTGGGGAGTTAGGAAGGGGGGTTAAAATATAAAAAAAAAATCCTAACTGAAAAAAAAAATGATATAAACTTGAAATTTTTAGCAAACATCAATCTCTAAAAGGAGAAGAAGCCCTTTTATTATAAAAAAAAATCTGATTAAATATGGGGGATTTAAGGGGGGTTGAAATTAAAAAAAAAATCAAAAATGAAAAGCGATATTAACATAAAATTTTTAGTAAAAATCAACCTCTATAAGGAGATGAGGCTTATTGATTGTGAAAACAATCTGGTTGAAAATGGGGGTTACGGGGTCTGTTAAACTGCGAAGAGTATCATTTAGAATACCAGGCATTATATATCTTTATTCTAGTTTGTATCTGTAATATTATGTATTGAGATGGGACTGATCTTATAAAATAAACATTTAAAACATTTTAGTTCCTATTTTATTTGCCAATAAAAGGTATTTAAAAAATGTGACAAATTGTGAAAATTATTAAACTTACAATAAAAACTAAAAAATGGTGGGTAAAGTTTCATATAAAATTTTTTACACAAAAAGCTTTCTACATAGCCTGATATATATTTAAAAATAATCTCAAATTATGAAGTTTACTATCTTATGTTTATAGATGGTTTTCAACGTATTAAAAACAAAACAAATATCACACTAAATAAAATATTCATTTAATAATAGTTGCAGTGCTTGAAAACAGTATGATGTTGATAATAATAATTACACTTAATACAAACTCAAACAATAAAAAAAACAGCGATATTGACTCTTGTACAAAGTTTTGATCCGAACTTACAAATGATAAAATTATTGAAAAAAGTGAACACCCATTTTTAATTACTACAAGCCGCCACTGATTAATATATTAAATTTTTCAATAGATTTTTAATATTTATTATGAACGGTAAAAATTTCAGCATGGCATTATATGGGAATTAAAACATGGCTATCCTTTAATCTGGTATTGTAGCACAATTACGCAAAACGCATTATATTTTTTTTCATGATAATAAAAATTCTAAAACTATTTAATTACTACTTAAATACAACTAGGTACTAAACTACAATAACTTAACTAATTACTTAAATATTCACAAATAATATACCCGTCATTCTATATAAAGTTATGATGTTAAAAGACCACTAAAGGACTGTGAAAACTTAGTTCTTTGTCCACAAAAGTCACATTTAAATTCGTTTCTTGGTAAATATTCTTTGCTAGCAGTTCAATGCCATCATAAGCTAGACTGAGCAGATCTGTTTCGTTTATGTGAATATTTTTGATGTTATTTGCACTGCTTTCTCTACCACTAGGTGAGCCAGGTGATGACTAATATAACTTCCAAACCGGTTGCAAATTGAAAAATACATATTATTGAGATTATAAGGACTTTTTCTTTCTTCCAAATTTTAACAAAAAGTTAATAAACTGTTGATAATTGTTTATATATCTTCCTCAAATTTAAACTGGCAGGAACGTCGCGCGTCGTAGGTTACCAGAAAAGGATAAGGCACAAAGCGGACGACCTGAAAACTATAATCACATCTTTAAGGATATACTTAGGTCAATTTTCACTTCTTTTACATCTTACCTATGTTTTACAATTCTAATTACACGTCTTACATGTCCGAGTCCCTCCCATGTGCCGTCTTTTGATTTTCCCATTGGTTTATGCCATTTCATTGAGAATTTCTATTGGCTCCAGCCGCACTTCAGATGCACGAAAGGCGCATGAGTGAAGGTGCAGATTTTCGGTGCTTCTGAAATTCAACCGTTAGTATTTACCCGGTAAGTACGAAGAGCAGAGCTACCGTCAGTCGGTCCGTCGGTTGCGAAACCACGAGGTCCTGTTGGATAGTTTAGAATTTAGAAATCGCGCGGCGGTTAAACAGTTATCCTTTTTTCGGGGTAATCGCACATTCAGTATGGCTCGTTTGCTGATTGTGTTTATGTTTTTGAAACTGTGTTATGTTACGATTGCTTCTACACCTACTGGGGCTTCCTCAAATGGTAAGTTATTTCGCTAGTTTACCATCTGGGTCCACTACAGACTCATTCTTGGCGTAGATGACCAATTTCACTATAGTTGAAATGAACGATTTGTGACTAAAATTAATTATTATTATTAGTAGTAGTAATAGTAGTAATAATTATGGCTAAATTAACCATAAGATACCAGAAATGGAAACAATGTATAAAATAAAAAATGTCAAAATGTATACAATAAATTCAAAAATACTGTTTATGTATATTATAGAAGAAAACAAAATTAGAAATTAAACCGAATCTTAAACAATTTTAAACATTAAACTTTGTGTCATTCACTATTTACTTCGAACTCTGAAATTCAAAAATTATTTGCTGGCAAAATCAGTGTTATCTAGAATTAAAAAAAGTGGTTTCGACTACAAATAAATTGATAGTAGAAATTAAATATAAAAATAAGATATAAAACTGAATGAATATTGTGTACGGTCTTTGATGTCTTCCAAACGACAGATAGGTATGTGGTCAATCAAATGGTTTTAGTAAACTACACCAAAATATGTACATAAAAAAAATAATAGGCTGTTCTACTTTCCACATTTAAAATTATTTTAGTATAAAGAGTGTCTTATGACATTGTGACAGCACAAAATTATATTTTTAAATAAAATACCCTGTATATTAAATTTTACTTTCGTTTTCTATTTCGGCATTATACGGTTTATTAGATTATACTGGGTATCTTCGAATATATGGAACCACTTCCCACTCTGTATATTTTAAACTAAAATTATAAACATTTTTTTGTTGTTTTTACATATATTTTCCAAAATGCAGTTATTTATATTGCTTAATTTTGTATACAGGATGATACATAATTGTATATTTACTAAAAATTTGTTGAGTCTGATTTTTTTGTATGAAAAAGTACTTTATAATTTTAATTTTAGTATGTATTCCTATAGGGTGAACCGTCCAGTTAATGACCACTTTAGGCAACAGTGATATATACATATTTGTAAAAATGTTCGTTTTGTTTTTAAAAGAAAAAGCAAGGAATAGCTGGATGAATTTGTTTACTAATTTAACTTTTTTAACATAAAAATGTAAACATGTTTATTTGTTTAAAATATTCGATAATTTTTAAGATATAATGCATAAAATCCTAGTAAATGACCAGTTCGTTTGAGTAATTGACCAAATAAAATACCAGTAAATGACTACAAAACTACTTTATTGTCTAAAAGAAAACATAAATACTTAGTTTAAAAAATTAAAGCAGTGTTTCATACTTTTCCATTTCAGGAACATTTTTTTAATGGCAATTTCCAACTTTGGAAAGTGTAAGTGTTCCTTCCAGTAATCTCGGACTTTAAGAGATTTTTTTGAGCTAAAATTTAAATCCAATTGTGTTTCTTTTGACTCATCATTTTCCTCATTTTGATTTTCAGTTTAGATGCTTTTATTTTGAGTATTGTCTTGGTTTTCTACATGTTCCATTTCTTCCTCAATTTGTTCACATATATTTTCATTTTTTTGGGTAATCTCCGGGGCACTTTCTTGATTTTGTTTATTGATATAATCTACATTTCTAATTTCTTCAACTTCCTGATAATCATCATTTTCTGTGTCCATCATTATTAGAACATTATTTTTCATATTTTCTCTTTCGTCTTCTAATACAATATAATTCTCACCATTTTCTTCATTAGGGTTGTCTTAGTTTTCTGCATATTTTTTCCATAATTTAAATAATTTATCATTATTTAAAACTTTTTGTGCTTTTCTTCTTTCTCTGTATGTTTTTAAGGTCACTTTAAAGAATTTTTAAAAATTTCGTTTTATCAATTCCACTCTGACTACTCTCTACATTATTGTTATCTTCTTTTAGTGGTACTGCCTGACGGGTATTCATACATTTTGAAAAATCAACATTATTTTCATTAAATGGAAATATGCCACATGTCCTGAAGGCGTTTTGTATGGTTTCAATTTAACTGGCATTTTTAAATGCTTGTGCAAAAATATGTGCAAAAGATACTTTGGTTAGAGATTTTCTTGTTTCTTGTTTATATTTCCCAAACAATTTTTAATCAAGCTTCATTACTGCTAAATATTTCCCACTTAGTATTTGTCAATTTTTGTATAAAACAATCATTTTTTAAAAATTGTATATATTCTTATAAGAATGCAAAGGTTAAACAAAGGGCTTAAGAGAACAATTACAAATCTGTACGTTTCACAAAATACTCCTTATGATAGATAATTTCCAAGTAACCCCTTTGTATCGCGTAAATTTTTTTATTATAACTTGCTGTGTTTGACATGCAGTCGAATTACTTTTTATCTAACTTGGGGGCATGGCAAAAAGCATGGTTTCTTTGTGTTTAGTAAGCAAAAGGTTGAATTCACCTTTTTTTAAAAAGCCTTTTCTCTAATCAAATTTATTCGCTTCTCAATTTGTGTTTTAAATAAATTAAAAAAAGAGCTGTTGTGAAAGGAGTTATTAGAATCCGTAGCAGTGGATTGATTTTAAAATGCTTTTCTGACATTGTCACATATCAGTTTTAATTAAGTATAACTCAATTAAAATGTATAATGAAATCCATTGAATATTAAAAATTAAAACTCATCTTTGTACTAATTTAAAAATTATATGAATAAACATTTATATATTAAAAATTTTGCTACCCTTTATTGTTCCGTTAATATTGGTAGCTACATTCAGAATGACCTGTTTTTATTTGTTTTTATCTGTTCACACCTATTTTCACCTGTTTCCACTTGTTTTCACCTGCCATTAGCCTTTCCCTTTTTAGCATATTTTTTTTAATAAAAGGCTAATGGATTATAAACATTTTCGTCTTTGGGAGGCCATAACCCCCATAGCCTGGAGCCGCCTTTGATACTATGTTAAATAAATCGATGATCAAACAGGCCTCTGACCTAAGCAACTTTGTTAAAATTTAACCCTGATAGTTTTATATATACAGTGGTGTTCCATAAAGTTGGATCCATGTGGGAACTTTTTTAACATCACTATTGGAAAAAACTAGGGCTCGGAATTGTATTTGGTTAATTCGATAATTCGAATATTCGAATACTCAAAATTCGATATTTTTAGATCGAAATTATTCGAATAGTCGAATAGTTGAATATTCGAATAGTCGAATATTCGAATAGTTGAATATTCGAATACTCAATATTCGACTAATTGAACTAGGTATTCGATACTCGAATATTCGACTATTCGAACATTTAAATATCGGAATAATGTAAATGTTCAAATATTCGGATATATATTTTGAATTTTATATACCTAATTTAAATGTTTCTTTTTTATCTATTGCTTAAAAATAAAGGTAGAAGAAAAATGACTTACAAAATTCTGACTTGGTATTTGGTAAATGAGGGGAACCCCAACGTTGTTTCACATTCGCACTTTTCACACGCTTGTTATAACTTACTATTACTAGTTATTTTATTCATATTAGTGTGTGTATGTCTGTAAGTCAACGCTTGCCCGCTACAGGTGTTAAATATGAGTTCAGAACGCAGTAAGATTTGGCTTTACTTCGATAAAAAAAGAAAATCGTGTGTAGTGTAAATTATGTACTTACAATGTCATACACAGAAGTAATACCAGTAATTTGTGAAATCAATTAAGAACTAAGCATTATACCAAAACAAACAGGTATGAATTATACGTTAATCAAATACTCGAACATTCGAATACTCGAATATTCGAATACTCGTATACTCGAATATCGTATATTCGAATACTCGAATATTCGAATACTAGAATGTACGAATAGTCGAATACTCGAATATTTGAATAGTCGAATACTCGAATATTCGAATAGTCGAATAGTCGAATACTCGAATATTCGAATAGTCAAATATTCGAATACTTAGAAATATTCGAATAGTGAATAATATGGGTATTCGAATAAAGTTTCAAACGAATATTCGAATACAAAAATCTGAAAAATTCCGAGCCCTAGAAAAAATGTCGAAGGACATTTAACACTGCTTTTTTAAAAGCTTAAAATTTTTTTTAAAATGCCATTTTGACAGAAATCTAATGTCAGTAGGTAACTTTGATATAGGTTTTTAAATAAGCAGAGACGATTGCCCTACAAAGTTTTTCAAATCGTAATATTAAAAAAATATTCCAACATGGATCCAACACGCAAATACCTAATTTATAAAGAAGTAAAATAACAAATATTCCCTATACTTCTTCCTGAAAAATGCTGATTACCTATCTATGGTACTTTGAGCTGAGTTGGGTATCCCCCCTCCCAAAATCTTTATTTCAGTGCGACTTCATAAGGTTTCACCCTCTATATCAGAGGTTTCCAAACTCTTTTGTTTCATAGACCACATTCTAAATTTTGCTGGATCACTACATCACTAGAATGTTACTTTCAGCTCCTCATTAGTGCTAAGCTCGAGTAGCTCCTCTTGTAATATCACATTCTCCACTTCCGTTTCATCAAATGGATTTATGATCCATAGTGGTATTTCCATCGACAGAATATCTTCAAATCTGAATTAAAAATAATCATGCAGGGCAATCAAATGTTGAACGTATGTCTGAATATCTTCATCAAGGCATTCTACCTGCGACAAGTTTGAAAACTGTGAAAATTCTCGCCGACTAATATTTTCTTTCATAAATTTTAATTTACCAAGAAAAGCTGAAATTGCACTCTTTGTTTTTATTAAATTGAGGCTGTTCCCTTGTAATTGTAAGTTGAGTTCATTAAATTTTTTGAACAAATCTATCAAATACGCGATGTCTGCTTTAAAATTGATCAAGTTTTTTTTTTAAATCAGGATCTTTACTTTCCAAAAACTCTAAAACTGAGTCAAAAAGTAAATAAAATCTTGATAAACAAACATGCACCTTTCGACGACCAGCGTACTTCGGTATGTAACAGCAATCGTTGGAAGTCTTCATCATTTTCATCGCACAATTGTGCAAATAAACGCGTATTCGAGGCATTGCTTCTTATTTTGTTAACTGCATTAATCACAAATTGAAGCGATTGGTGCAATCTATCTTTCAAATTTTTCGCTACTAGATGTTGTCGGTGGATAACACAGTGAATCGCAATTACCTCTGGTATAATTCTTTTAAGATGGCTTATAAACTCACCATATCGCCCGACCATGGCAGGAGCTCCATCTGTTGCCATCGAAATAACGTTTGTAAATGGAACCGATTTTTCTTTAAAAAAATCACTCAAAACATTAAATATTGATTCATCTTTAGTGTCCGTTTTCAAAGTTTTCATGAATTTCTTCGCCCATAACAAATCGAACATATGCCAATAATAATGCCTCATTGCCAGGTAAAGTTGACTCGTCCAGTTGAATAGAAAAATGAGTTGTTCGTAGATAATCACACAAGAAACTTTCAACATCAGAGCTCATTTCATCAATACGTCTTTGTACAGTGTAGTTACTCAAAGGAATTGAGTGTGTCAAGTGAAGATTTGTGCAGAACAGTTTTTAAAATCTCTTCAACAGCAGGTTAAATTAACTGTTCTCCAATGGTGTGCGGTTTTCCAGATTTTGCGATAAGTAATGAGACATTGTAAGATACCCGTAAGCCATCATCGTTGCTTTCAGACGTTGAAGAGAACATACTGTGTACGGTGGATCTCTTTTCATATTTTTCCTTTAATGTTTGGAAATATTTCAAATCTTTACCTATTTTATCAGGATGACACCTTCTTAGATGATCTTCCAGCTTTGATGGTTTCATAGAGTCATTGCTTAAAACTGTATTGCATAAAAGCCATGTGGGCAATCGTTTGTCTGCTTTTGATAAAAGAAAACCAAATTTTAAATATTCAACACTGTGCTGACGACACTTCTTAGATTCGGCCATGTTTTGTATCAATTACCTACCTGTAAATAAGTAAATAAATAAAAAAAACTTTGTTTTAGTATTCTTAAGGCGATTTGAACTTAACAGGATATGGCTATTTTAACATAATATGATTAATCAATTATTATAAATATTATGAAATAAACAAAGTACCGGCTGCAAACTATTTCTAATTATTAAAAGCAATAAATCGCTAAGATCCATAATAGAGTTTTATGAAAACGGCTGAATTTATTTTAATGTGATATAAAATTATTATTTCATTTATTATATTTTAATATATTACTAAGTACTTACGATTGTGGACCCCCATTTTTTATTACGCCCAACGTAGACCCCCGACGAGTCCCCCGTCAACCCCTGGGGGTCCACTTGGACCTCTTTCGGAAATACTGCTCTATATCGTCCTATAATTTTACCTAATACCGAACAGATTTAAATCTAAGCAATAGAAAAATAAGCAATTTAAAAATGAGAGGCAAAGGCTTAGAAAGAAAATGTATGTTTAATTACCTCACTGATTAATTGGTAAATGTCAGTTTTTTATTTTTTTTTGCGCAGCATAATGTGTTTAAATTTATCAAGGCCGATAGAATAAAAGTCCATGAATGTTAGATCTCGAGGGGTTAATAATAATTTCAAATTCACGTGCCAGTACCGAAATATAAATGAATGTCAAGCGATGCAGCTACTATTGGTATTCAGAAGATGCTCGCATCCTTGTCCTATTATAATACGCTATACATATACTTTACAACATGAAATACTCGACGTGTATGTTAAAAAACCTCCTTTTGCTGGAGTATTTGCTACTGGTGAATGTAAATAGATACAAAGCGACCCTCTTATGCCGGAAAATATAAGAACTCCGCGCCATCCTTGCGAAAAATGACAAAGGGTCAAATTCCCTGAATTTTGATATTTTCATTTCCATCTATCATTATTAAATATAAATGTTAAAATGTTTACAGAACCTTTGTGTTTGATTGTTTACTTTATCCACATTAATTTAATTTCTTATGTACAGATCAGTTTTAGTAAACTATACAAGAGTAACCATTCGTCTTCATATTGTACCTGCTACAGTTTCATAAAAAAATTGTACCACGTACCATTCTTCTTGAAATGTCTTGTCCCTAGATAGAATAAAAGAATATACTCAATTTTTTCTTCTACTTCGATATTAAGTCATTTATTCTTTATTCCACCTTTTGCTGGTTATTCACAGAGAAATCCATTATCTTTAAAATTTGGATATTAGCTGATCGCCCTTGATTGGAATGCTACTTACGAAGAGTTATGTCGTCGATATATTCGTTCTTCCTTTTTGTTTTAGTTACATAACTTCTCAAATACATTTACTGACTTCGTTTTTATTGAGATATTTGGCTGAATTTGTTCACTAGATACATTTCGTAATTTGTTCACCGCGGGAAAATGCTATTAAAGACATAATCAGTGACTAGCCCGTGTTGAGTATGTTATCCTTGTAAAGTGTACAGAATCTGCTTAACCCATTATTTCACCCCTATGCTTCTTCCGTCGTTGCATGGTTTATACTGTTAATAGCAATTGATTGCACCCCATACCTTCAAGTGTGCAGATCATTTATATATAGCTAATTGATTTTGCTCGCGACTGGTCCCCTGGGATAGTGACTAGTCGAGCTTACAGTAAGGTTAGAGGTTAGGTTGAAACTGAGTGGGCTGATCTCATGGCCTTCCACTGTGACCCAGATGGTTCTATTGTGACTCATAGTACACTGTCTAAGCCACACCTTTTGATGTAGGCCATAGTTGAATTTTGTAAGAATTGTTTAAAGTTAGTAGGCTCCAGTCGGATGAATCCGAAGATCTGGAACCTAGTTCTTTTCCAAGCGGAGCAAGTACGTAAAATGTGCCCTGCAGAATTGGCAGTTCGATGTTGCAGACTTATCCTTCTCATGTGGTTACCCAGACGACACTCTCCTATCACCAGTCCCGTTAAAATACGTAGATATTTCCTACTCCATTCCCGGTTCTGTGCAGAGGCGTTCGTGAAAGGGTTGGTAATAAATGCCATCGAATGAATTAGCCCTTGGGTATCTCTCCAGTTCGTGAGTGTTGCACATAATGTCAATGATATAATTCCTTTGGCTACTCTTTGCAATGTCCAGGAATAGTTCTGGTCTTATGAGCTCAGATTCGGTTCCTCTTTTAGCGTGCACGTCGGCTTTTTGATTGACCTCGGAACCCAGATCAAAGTAGCTTTGTACCAGACACCAAGACCTTCAAGGGTATTTATCCAGTTCCAAAGCAGCTTTGAGACAACTCGATTAGAGCTCAGGGCCTTGAGGGCTGCCTGGCTATTCGAAAAGATCTTTACAGTCTTGTTTGCGGGGAGAAAATTAATTAACTCTCGCTCCCAATTCTATAGCAATCATTTCTGCTTGGAAGATCGAAATCTCCCGCTCCTACTCCTTTTTCAGTTTTCGAGCCGTCCGTGTACAACGTATGGTCCGTTGGAAGAGGATTTTATCCCGCTGCATACGTGTCTCTCTGGAATGAGGATGCTGTATGACTTTTCTGTGCTGTCGGGAAACTAGCTAGTCTGAGACTATGCCGAGGATGTGGTAGTTATTAATCTCACTCATCAGCCCCGTCTTCTTCCATCGCAGTTATTCACTGCATTGAAGCCAGCAGTATGCAGTATTGTCGTCCTTGGTCACTGGTGGGATATGTTATATCTTAATGTATGGTTTTGACTGGACTGCCAGACAGCCTCGCCGAAATATATCAGCAAGTAACGAAAGGGCGTAAGATTTAGTCGTTTCTGGCACAGAAGGGTTGGCTCTCGTTGATGTACGTGCATTTTTGAAAGTGTTGGAGACGGGAAACCATGCAGTTCGTAAAGTTACCCGCTCTCTCCTAAGAATTTCTCTGCAATATCCCCCTTTTCCCTTCTGTGTCTTGCTTGATCTTTTGAAAGACCGGTAGTTTTTGGACATGGCTCATTGAGGACAAGTGTGCTTACCTAGAAGCAATGTCTTGGAGTATCTCCAGCGTTGATTTACCGGTCTCTGTTTTTTCTTCGACTCTTCGTTCTTGTGCGTCTTAACTTCGTGCTGACGCAGACCTGGGAAAGTGTCAAATGAAACGTGACAGTATTCACAGTGGTTTCTGTCACGCTTCCCATAGGTCTTATAGTGTTTGGGCGATTGCGCTTTTGGTATGGCACCTGCGCTTACAGTTAGTGCAGGCAACCTGACCGCAAACATTATCTTGTGAGGGGAGAAGGAGTAGTCGTAGAACTGGAAACAGTGGTAAAGGTTTACCATATTTCCTAGATTTCATCTGCCTCACTTTGAGTGAGTGTATTCTGTTTTAAGAAGTTTTTGCTTACATCCTCGGGAGATATATTCGTAGGTATGCCTCTCATAACCTTTTGAGTGGGATTTCCGCTTTCAACTGGTGACAATAAAATTTAGCACCTATATTTTCTAAATGTTCTGTCATGTTTCTGTGACCATTGAAGATTTTTGGCACACTATTATTTTTTCTACAATTTGTATACATTTCTACCATATTTCTTCACTTACTAGCCTCATTGGTCATGTTGGATAGTTACTACGTATTTTTTTATAATGCATATCCTTTCACCGCTGAGAGCAAATCGGCACTGGTAAATGGTCGTTTTTAATATTTATCATATTTAGCCATTGTCGAATATTATATTTATGGGTATTGAAGACGAGAATGGTATGAATCGATGTCCAATACAATCAAAGAAGACTAAAACTATAAAAATTCTAATGATTAAATTAATATAAATTATTTTCTCACCAAAAGGAAGACTTTTAGATATTTGTTCACTATGTCGATCTTGATCAAATTATGTGCTTGCTTCATTAGATTACAAATTTTCAAGTTTTCTCTTTTTGATGATAATTGTTGATCAGCATCTTTAATTGCGTTTAACAATTTTCTTTCATTATTTCTTTTAATTATTGACTACCGTTTCTTGATATAATGACGAATCTTCTTTTGCCATCCATGGATATTTTCCATCACTGAAAAAATCTACAATGTACCATTCTTTTATGATATCTGGTTTGTCTTCCGTGCATACATCGTTCTCGTTGACAATTACACGGGGCCATATGCGGAAACCCGTTGTTTTTCCCAGCATAACCTAAATTTACAGTATTTTTTTTAATTTTAAATTACTCGAACCAATCTACTCTGGTATCTCAAGTATTTTGTCCACATCACTGTTGTCTTCACCAAAATTTTTAGATTTTCCAGTTTATGGCTCGAATTCTGCAGGTAGATGAGTCCTTCCAATTCTTTTGTTTTTTTGAGACGGAGCCAGTTTTTTTTTTGTATGAGGCAATGATTTATTCAGATTATTAACGATATGAAAAGTAAGATACTATATTATTCACTGGATAGTTTATAAAACCGAAACTTTTATCTTTGTTTGTTTTAATATTATAATTTTTCACTATATGATGGACTTGGGGTAGCGACCCTGCAAGAAAATTGCTCCTTGCGTTGTATAAATGTCTTCGGATATATGTAAAATCTGTTGTAATCGTTTCTGGTAGTTCCTTAGCCAGCTCACGCCGTAAAATTTTTGCTGGTTTTTCGAAAATATGAACAAAGCGCCCACGCTTTTTTCACAATAATACTAGTATTTTCCATTTATTATTGTTTTAAGCTTATTTGAAAAATTATGTTTAACTTTTTAGTTTGATATGCTCTAAAAGTGTGTTTTTTAGTTTTTTTTAAACTATATTTTATTTACCACCTAAAATGTGCATGGCGCCCAGATTACATGTCGCATTTAACCACCATTTTCCAAAGCAGGTAAACCCACAAATTTGATGCTCAAATTACGCTCGCCGAAACACACATCGTGCTCTTATCTTATGACGGAATATCCTTAAAAGTATGCCTTTTATGAAGAAGGAGCATTTCATTAAAGATTATGGTTAAAGCTCGTACCTGTGCTAAGACAAATCATTCCCGTTTTAATCAACTTTTGATGTTGAGACCATCCACTTAGTTGAAAGTTCAACCATTATACGTGTGTATGAGCATTCATGCAAACCGGCACTCCAAGATAACACCTGTTTTATTCTAGGCGGCATCTTTCCCAGCATAGGCGTGCCGAATTAAGGATACGGAAGCATTCATAAATATGAATGGTCCATTTAGACCAAATTTTAAACGGATACAAAAACCGGCAATATATTATATTGTTTTTAACTTTTTGATAATTACGTGCTTTTGCTTGTGTTAAAATATTGTTTTTGCCTTTGTAGCTACGCAAGGAATAGGAGAATTAATTATTGTATACTTTTTGACACTTTTTGCCTCTACTGTTTTGATTGTTTGGGGGATAAGACGGTTGATAAGAGGTGCTCTGGATGACTTTATTTGGGCTAGCTCCATACTCTTTCAACTCGTTTTTGGCTTGTGACTAATCGGAGGTTATTATTTATGTGTTTTGAACCTTTTAAATCAAGTACAATGTCATTATTCACGTCACAACTAAATATAACCCAAAATCACTGCACGTTAATAACTTATGACATAAATGTATCTGTACCTCCTACCCGGACCAACGGTATTGGTATCTGATTTCAAGAATTTCCTGTTAGATTTAAAATGTATTACAGATATTCAATGATTTCTTAGTAAGAAATGTGAAAAGGAAGGTGTAACTCCTCTTTAAATATGCCACTGCGCCAAAATTATGCTAAATGACTATTAAAAATAAGAGGGTCTTTATCATGACAGACAGTTAGGCAGCCCTTAAAGCAATGAAAAGGATATAAGTACAATCTAAATTAATATTTGATGGAGAAAATAAAACAACTCCAAGTTGTTTTATTTTCTCATTGAAGATGGTCACATTTGAGAGGTTGGATTCCCTTCTAAGTTTAATATTTTATTGCCAACAGTCCCTCCAGGCCCTGGTAGAACATAACAAGGTTCACCCTTGAATGGGTACCGGGACATAAGGGAGTGTTTGAAAATGAGAAAGCAGACCTCCCAGCCAGGAAGGGAACAGAAAAACTAATTGGATCAGAACTCACATGAGGTATTTCATACCAACATGTTAAACAGGTGCTAACGGAACAAATAAATAGAGATCATAGGCTCCGGTTGAAACTTCCTGGACTTACACAGTCCAAAATATTCATAGAGGGTCCATCCAAGAGCAGACAAAATCAATTGCTAAACCTTAGCAGAAGCGAACTAAAGGCCGCAATAGGACTCTTTATGGGACACTGCGGCCTTAGAAGACACCTAAATCTCCTATTCACATACTATGCCACTGTCGGAATGTTAAATGGGAACGAGAATGGCACATTGGGGTACAATACTTGGACCTGAAGAAATTGTGATAGCGCCCATGAGACATATTCTTAAATTCATCAAGAAAATTAATCTGAAGGGGTAGAAACTGTGAGGGGTACAATAAGCCTAGAGCTTCAGTACGAGTGTGCTTTGAACCATACCCTAATTCAGATAGGATGATAGGTGGTAGATAAATTTATTCAATATTAAAATGATTTTAATATATTACTTGTACAGTTTTAAACATATGATTTTTTAATTGCAAACATTGAATCTTTTCATTTTGTTTGAGAAATGCTCTACCGAATCCCTTGGGTCAAATATCAATAGACGTGGCACCATGTCCAAATTTTCATGCAAGATATAATGTACGCGCTCGTATGAAATGACTACTTCATTTGTATATCTCTCTCAACTTTACTTGGCGATTTCATGGTCTTTTTCAATAGTTTCTTCATCAGTAGCTGTTTTTGGTCTGCCAGAACGTATACTATGCTTGTTCTACCGTGTTTTAATTCAGCAACCCTATTTGCAATTGTTGCAAATAGTTTTCGTCATGCTATTATTCTCCATCCTGATTATTTCATTGTTTAATTCATTTTCTCTGACAAAAAAAAATAATTTCTGGATCTGGTCATATCTATTTGCATTTGGTTATTGGTGTACTGCTTGTAGAGTAAATGTGTAGGTTTAATTGGATATGTACATTGACGTATAGTTTGTACTCTGGTAGGAATGGAAACCTAGTGTAAGTGTATGATGTCTGAAGTTCTTTCTAACAATCGGTTAGTTTTTGGCTGTTTTCTTTTATCTACCAAATATTGAAGTATTATAAACTTGTCTAGGGAAACCAGTTAGTTTTTCTTTATAATCTTGATTTCCATTTTAAATTAGTGAATAAATATTCCTAGGTAATACTGAAAGCAGAATAGAACTTAAGTTCTGGCTCATTTCTGTAAAAACCTTTTTTGCCATATTTTCAAATTGTATACCTTCTGAATATTCAATATCTTTTTTATCCTGTAGTATCATATTTGAACACATTTTATATTGATGCTTTATCTGTTAGGATACGGGAGAAATTATGTGGGCGGTAAATTGCGCTTCCTCATAGGACGCTACTGATTGCGACCCTTCATGCCGCACCAAGTTTACAGCCCTAATATCATTAATATTCGCAATATTTACTTTCGCCAGATTTTAATATTTCGGCTTGGTAATCTACAAAATATCAACAAATTACGCTGCAGTGTTGGATAAATTTGAGGTAAGGTGTTCTAGTTGCAAAGAAAATTAGGGCCTCTCATTGAAAATTGTTTGTCTTAGTTTACGTTGGAAAAACTATGTTTGGATGAATCATTTTTTGCAATTTATTATTATATGATTTTTAATATCAATATGAATCGTTACTTACTTCTGTTATATAATAATTCATTGCCCTATAGTACTTACTTAACTGCCTGAAAAAAAGCCGTGCGGTGCCGTAGATATAATCGATTTTACACTAGCAAAAAGTATTTTATAAATGACATTTTCGAAAACTTTTCCAAAATTGCAAAGGAGGGATATTGGTCTGTAGTTTTCTATGATAGATTTGGATCCTTTCTTAAAGATTGGATGGTTTTTAGATATCTTCCAATAACTTGGAAAATGCCATTCTTGTAAGGACATATTAAAGACTATGGTTAAATATTTGGCTAAAATATTTGCACAATCTCTTGCCGGAATATCATCTGGTCCTCCAGAATTTTTAGGTTTCAATCTTTTAAGACCTTTAATGACATCTTCTTCTGTAAGTAGCGGAATGTTACAACTGTTAATATTAACAACATTATCTAGTTTAGACATCAATTTTAGACGAATTAGTGTACGATGACTTAAAATATGTAGAAAATGCATTGACAATTTCTTGTGAATTATTTAAAGGATTATTATCAAAAGTCATAACATTTAGTATACTACTGCAGTT